TAATAATAATAATAATAATAATAATAATAATAATAATAATAATAATAATAATAATAATAAATAAGTGAAAAAGCTGTAAGTTCGCAAAAGCCGACTTTTCGCTGACGAAGTAGGGGGTACTTACTAGTCTATAGCAGACCTTCAGAGGCTTATTTATGTGGATGAGCCTTGCCTATTTGTAGACGAAGTTTATACCTTCTCCTTTTAGGATTTTCCTTAACCTACGTCTAGTCTAATGGAACACATGCACGTATTTTTTTAAACAAAACCAGTTCTTTTCAAATCTTCTCAGCCATATCGCATCACACATCTCAATTAAAAGCGGTAGCAAATTTTACACACCTTCATTTTAAATATATTAAAGGATTTAATATTCGAAATGTGTACTGCTTGTTAAGTAATAAAAATAAATCACACAATTTTGAATCATGGCTTGATATGATACAGTGGAACCTGTTTATAATCGAATCACTACAGTAAAGAATGGAAAGATATAAGATGACCCAACTTTGAAATTTCTTATGAACTATGATGCCTATAAAACCGGGTTCCACTGTACTCTTATTCATAAGTTGAATGTGTGAGTGTATGTGTATCACGTCTGAAGATTGGTGGCTTGATCGTGCCTAAAATCGCTAACCCAAAACTGGTAATTGTATTACATTTATTGTATCATTTTGAAGGACTTTCCGCACAACAATAAACCGGATATTGTTACGCACACATACACACACACCCCCTCACTGCGTATTGCCAACGAAGTGTGTAGCTAAGAAATCCTTGAAACCCATGTCAAGCGTAAAGGCAAAGAGAAACGTTACAGTTCATGAACAAAAAGTTTAAATTTTTTTAACAAAAAATTTTAATAAATTGTTCTTGGGTTATTTACATTCTCTACAAAAACTACGGGAATGGGTACAAATAGAGAAAAAAAAAACTTAACATATGACTCGTTGAATATGACAATTGAAAGCTAAACTAAAATCACAGATTTCTGTTGAGCGTTTATTTTTTAACCAAAGAAACCGCCACCACTGCTGCCACCATAGTAACCGGATTCATGGTATTTGTTGTAACCGCCATAATAATTGCTGCCACCATAACCACCATGACCATAACCTCCTGGATAGCCACCATGTCCATATCCGCCAGGATAACCACCATGGCCAAAGCCGCCGCCATAACCACCATGACCATAGCCGCCGCCATAACCACCATGACCATAACCGCCGCCATAACCACCATGACCATAGCCGCCTCCATAGCCACCATGGCCATAACCGGGATAACCATAACCACCACCATATCCTCCGGGTCTGTAACCTCCACCATAACCGCCATAAATGCCCTTATTTATTCCAACCCCAGCCGAGAAACCAATTCCAATGCCACCACCCAAAAATCCCAAGGTGCGGCCCTCGGCCTTAACGGGCACCGGTTCTGGAGCAGGGGCTGCCAGGGAACAGCATATCAGGCACAAGACCACAATTGATTTAATCTACAACAGAATAACACATGTCAAGTTATTTATATTTTTCTGCAAAATATCTTCAACTTACAATACGTTGCATGATGGATCCAATTGCTCCCACACTCTAGGCTTCCTTTTGCTTCTGTCAAAATTCTGGTTTCAACTAACGACCATTCCTTTGTTCTACTCTAATTTATATGGAGTAAAAAATGGAGAAGTGAAGAGAGAGACAGAGAGCGACATACGTCAACTACTGCTATATTGTTTTTTTGGCTAAAAGGAGAACTGAGCAAGAACCCTGGGAGAGCAAAATCTCCACAGAGTAACGGAATAGAGTAACTCTGAAAAAGAGTTATGATCTGCTCTGACTTAACTGAGCTTGTGATGTGCGTGTCTTGTACGAATTCGGCAAAAAAAAAAAAAAAAAAAAAAAAAACAGAACAATTGCTTGTCAGCTACACATAATCGCACATGCCGGCCACCCGGCACACACACATACAGTTAAACCTCTTACAATGGAATTAGTTTTGCATATCAAGGTTAAGGTCTTGGGAGTTGATTTTGATTTAATTGATGTTTTTTGGATAATTGATTTGAAAATTGAAATTGTAAAAAATATTTTTTGTTTTGGTTCACATGCTGCTTGTAACGAATTGGGTAAGCTTCGCCAATGTTACACGAGCGATTTGATGCTTGACAGTTAACAACTTAATTTGAAATTGATTGGAACATAATACGATTTTAATGGTACTCGAGGAGCATTTTGTGAATTAAAATGTGTCGAAGAGATTGACATACAATTTTTACAATTGAAAGAAGAATTGAGAAAGACATAGGGGATCCCTGAACTTCTTTTTCTAGGGTTAGAAGATCTTTTAAAGCTAGAAGAGCATCTCGAACCCTTCTATAGCTAGAAAAGGGTCTAATGCACTTCTGTAGCTGCTAAAAATCTTCTACAGCTAAAAAATGTTCGAAAGCTCTTCTATAGCTAGAGAGCAGTTTAAACTCTTCTAAGGCTTTTTATTGTTAAAGGAGCTTTTAAAGCTTTTTTTTATAGCTAGAAGAATTTCAAAGGTCTTTTATAGCTAAGAGATCTTCTAAATCTTGCCAATAGTTAGAAGAGCTTCTAAAGCTCTTCTATAACTAAAACAGTTTTTTAAGTTATTCTATATCTAGGAGAGCTTTTAAAGCTCTTTTATAGTTTCTAAAGCTTTTCTATAATTACAAGAGTTTCTAAAGCTATTTTCTAGCTTGAAGAACTTCTAAAGCTCATATAGTTAAAAGAGCGTTTGCAGCCTACCTATAGCTTGAAGAGTGTCTAAAGCTCCTTGATACCTAGGAGAGTGTCCAATTATTTTCTATGCCTAGAAGAGATTCTAAAGCTCTTCTATAGTTAAAAGAGCTTCTAGATATCTTTTATATCCAGAAGAGCATCTAAAGCCCTTTCATAGCCATAAGAGCTTCTAAAGCTCGTTTATAGTTAGAATCTTCTAAAGCACTTCTATAGCTAAAAGAGCCTCTTACAATCTTCTATAGCAAGGGGGGCATCTAAAGCTCTTCTATAGCTAGAAGAGATTCTATAGCTAGAGAAGCTTCTAAATCTCTTCTATATATAGTGGAACTTATAAAGCTCTTTTACATATAGTAGAGCTTTTCTATAGCTTAAAAACCATCAAAAGATCTTCTATAGCTAGAAGAGCATCTAAAGGTCTTTTATAGCTGAAATATCGTTAAAAGTTTGTCTATAGTTTCTAAAGCTCTTCTGCACCTAAATCTTCTAAATGTTCTATCTTCTAAAGCACTTCCATAGCTAGAAGGGCTTCTACAGAGCTTCTAAAGGTCTTTTATAGCTAAAATAGCGTTTGGAGCTTGTCTGTAACAAAAATAATTACCAAAGCTTTTTTTATCAAGAAGAGCTTCCGGAGCTTTTCTAAAGCGAAATGCCCTGGTAAAGCTTTTATTTAGCTGGTGGATCTTCTTAAGCTTTTCTGGAAGAGCTACTAAAGCTTTTCTAGAGGTGGGAGAGGTACTGAAGCTTTTCTATACCTGCAAGAGCTTCTAAAGTCAGATAACACTCTGTAGTTGTTCTATATTCGAATAGTCTTTTGAAACTGTTTCACAGTCAGAAGGAGACTTGAAGCTTTTCAATATCTAGTAGGCTTTTTCAACATCTTTAAGACAATATCTACTGAAGCTTTTCTAGAGGTGGAAGAAGTACTGAAGCGTTTCTATGCCTGTAAGAGCTTCTGAGCTGTAAAGCTCTTCTAAAGTCAGTTTAAAGGTTTTCCATAGCCGAATAGTCTTCTGAAGCTGGTCCACAGTCTGAAGGCCACCTGAAGATTTTCAATATCTAGTAAGCTTTCTGTAACTCTTCTATTGCTAGGAAACCTTCCGAATGTCTTTCATGCCTTGAAGGCCATCTAAAGCTATTCTATAGACAAAAGACGCTCTGAAGCTCTTTTATGGCTATTGTCGGTTTTCTATTGATAAAATATATTCTTAGGGCCTACCCATGGATATGATTGTCTTCTATGGAAGATGGTTTCATGAAGGTCCTCATGATGGTCTCCTATTGATTTAAGCTCTTCTGAAGATCTCCTATAGTTAGAGATAAAATACCTTTTATAGGTCTGCTGTACATAGAAGAACTTCTATAGGTCTTCTTTACAGAAATTATGTTCTGAAAAACTTCTAGAGACAGTCCTTCCAGAGAGCTCTTATTTGAAAAAGACCTCCAATTACAAAAAACAAAAAAACTATTGAAAGATTCCACAGATTAGTTTTATGAATAATATTAAATAACCGATTCATACACATTATTCCAGACCCATCTGTTGCCATGCATTAATTCTGTAAATATGAAGAGCGCAGCTTCAAAAATATTCTTCACCACAATTGACGACGACAAGTTGATGACGAAATCAAGACAAATTGTTTTTTCATTTGGGGAACTCCCAGATTTCGGAAATGACCATCAAAACGAGAACACTAATTGGAAAAAATTTCACAGGGCCTCCAACTCAAAAGAATATTTTTTGCCAGAACAAAGCCACAAAAAGACAATTCACATACGAGTTGTTTACTTAGCCAGGTGAATTAAGACACAAACAATTTGACAACAACATCAACAACTACTACAACAACACCTACCTCGGTAAAATACCAAGCTGCCAGTGCGCATGTTTAAACGTTCTGCTCAACATCCAACTAAAGTCGATTAAGATACAATAAAGAAGTGAAGAATACCGTACGTGTTCGGCATAGCATCCATCCACCTTCTTGCAGTGGCCGGTGCCGGTGCTAGGGGTGGGGTTGTTTGTACAATGAGTAAGCCATTAGATGTTGATGGGAATTTCAATTTAATCCAATGGGTAATGTACCACGACACACCGTCGTACCGCGGCAGTGAGAGAAGATCTATTTAAACGATATCAGATACCTGGAATACTTTGATGGGTGGAATAACCTCTCTGCAAATGATGGTAAATCCGATATGTCTGTCTGTCCGTCTGTCGGAGATATTAACAACAATTTAAATAATATTTTCGTTTTTTATTAACATGATTAATATTTCAAATAAATGTTTGAATAAGCTATTTTTGGAAGGGAGGGACTTTACTTCCGCCATAAAATAAAAAAAAATCTGACATTGTTACAGGTTTCAATTAAATCTCTTTTGGGAGTGTTTGAAAATTAACGAAGTAGTTGGGAATATGAGTGAAATTTATAATACATAGACAAACAACACTCTGATAGCTTCCTGGAAATTCTGAAGGACGATCAAACCTTAAATGCAGATTTTTTAACGAATGTTTTTTTAAAGACCACCAGGGCAGTGAATCTTGATTTTTTAAAGAATATTTTTGGATGGATTTAAAAAAAAAACTTAAGACGGTCCTCCATCCAAGTTTTATATTTATGGGAGACCTTCAGTTGGTTCTCTATTTATGGAGGACCTACAAAGAGTCTTCTCCAAAAATCCATATGAGATTTTCATAAAGTCTTCTATCTGTAGAATCCTTCAGAAGATCCTATTTCCAAAGGAGAATCGTGGACGGTCTTTTATTTATAGAAGAAGAAGGTGCTATACCCAGTGGAAACATTTAGAAGGACTGTTATATACATGATACTTTCGGAAGGTCTTCACGGATCCTACACAATTTTATTTTTAGAAGACCAAAAGGTCTTTTATCTATAGGAGATTTAAAAAGTAGAGAAGGTACCCTTCGAATGGACATATAGCCATAGAACCCCTTCCGAATATGTGAGATCGGCGGAAGGTCTTTAATTTTTAGAAGGCCTTCTGAAATTCTTTTATCTATAGGAGGCCGCCAGAAGGTCTTTTATCTCTGGTATAGAATGGCGTCTGTTTTCAACAACAATTTCTGTAAAAAATCTTGCTATAGTTTTTACATTTTTACATTCGGGAACAGACCAAATATTTTCTGCAGAAGATATTGTTATCGACACTATTTTTTATAGAAATTTGTGTAATGTCGGTTATCGACCATATTTTCTGAAGATAATTCTGTAATCGACAATATTTTCTATAGATAATTCACACATTTAAAATTGACTCCTGTTATCGGCAATATTTCTTACAGATAATCCTGTTATCGACAAAATTTTTTGTGCAAAATCCTGTTACTGACAATATTTTCTATTGAAAATCCTGTTATCGACAATATTTTCTATAGGAAATTCTTTTATCGACAATATTTTCTATAGGAAATCCTTCTAACGACAATATATTATGTAGAAAATCCTATCATCGATATTGTTTTTACATTATCGTCATTATTATCGATATTATTTTTTATAGATACTCCTATTATCGATAGATATATATTATAGATAATCCTTTTATCGCCAGTATTTTTATCGACAATATTTTCAATAAAAAACTCCTCTTATCGACAATATTTTCTATAGAAAAATCTTGTTATTGACAATATTTTCTATGGAAAATCTTGTTATCGACAATATTTTCTATGCAAAATTTTGTTATCGATAATAGTTTCTTTAGAAAACCTTGTTATCGATAATATTTTCTATAGAAAATCTTGTTATCGATAATATTTTCTATAGAAAATTCTGTTATCGACAATATTTTTTATCAAAAATGTTGTCGATAACAGTTTATGTAGATAATCTTGTTATCGAAAATATTTTCTATAGAAAATCTTTTTATCGACTATTTTCTATAGAAAATCTTGTTATCGACAATATTTTCTATAGAAAATCTTGTTATCGACAATAT